TAATGATGCCGTCAGATCCTGTTTCAACAAATGAAGTAGTTTTCCATCCATGAAAATATTTTTTCATTCTACTTTCCTGAATTTGTGATACTACGTTTCTGTCCTCAGTGCTGGTTCTTGTGGTGTCTACACAAAATACATGTAGTTTGCCCTGTTCCCCAATTTGGTGTCTTAGGGAAGACATCTGTATATGGCCGAGAAGACAGTTCATTCCAAGATCCCCTTTTTAAAAACAGCATGGTATGGACTGTAATGGCTTGCTGTATCTTCTTTCAGGAGATTCCTCAGTATTATTCCTGAATATTAAGATAGTATTGTAGTGATTCTTGAACTTTCACAATTCCATACTGCCGCCACGCACCAACCATTTCTGATGTTATCCTGTGAAAAGAAACTTGCAGTGGACAGCAGAAAGCTATCCTCGTTTTTCAAATGCCTAGAATTTAAAAAGGAAGAAACAAATGTGACAAATAATAGTAATTTAAATTCCAGAAATTTAAATCACATATGGAAGGGCAAGGAAGATAACCAGAGATCCTGTCCAGCTAGGCGTATGCTTGTACTCTGTAACAAGCTTCCTGTATCGATGTTATTGAGATGATGCTGAATTCTTCATCGTGAACAACCTGCTGAAGCTTTGGCTCCGTCAAGGAATCACAGCATCACAGTATGGTTGAGCTTGGACGGGAGCTCTGGAGGTCATCTAGTCTAATACCCCTGCTCAAGCAGTGCCACTTAGACCTGGTTGCACAGGACCATGTCCACATGGCTTCTGAATATTTCCCAAAGATGGAGACTCCACAACAAACGTGGGCAACCTGTGCCAGTGCTTGGTCAGCCTTGCAGTCAAAAAGTGTTTCCTGATGTTCAGGGGGAACCTCCCATGTTCTGCATTGTGCCATTGGCTCTTGCCCTGTCACTGGGCCCCACTGAAAAGAGCCTGGCTCTTGTCTTCTACACCCTCCCTTCAGGTATTCATATGGTTCAAGAGACTGCTGTCTTCCACAGCACTATCACTGACTATCCGTCTTCCCTTCACAACCTTCAGCAGAGCTATCACTGACGGGAGCAGCCAGCCTTCGGGGAGTGCTTCTCACTTCCCTTATCCTTTGCTGGAGGGAAGGGAGTGAAACAGGCTGTCCTTGAGGGAAAAAGTACATGTGATAAAGGGCTGTCTTGACCAGCAGGAGGTGGGCACCACAGGGGAAATAACGCCTGCCATGCTCTTCTGCTTTGGTCCATGTGACATCCTGGTGTTTTGCTGAGAGAACGCAGCAAGCGATGCATTGTGATTTTGCTGAGTTAGGCCAAGGGGTATAGTTGTGGTACATAGCACTATACAAACTCCCCCAAACCAAAATGACAGTCCAACCACATACTGATGGCCTCCCCTGTTAATTGTCAGGCTGTTTACAGCCTCATTATAACAAAATAATTGCAAGATTTTTTTTAGTTTTAACAAACCGTTACAGAATACGTTATTACAGAATAATCCTTGTGGAAATCCAGTACCACCACCATCCTTTGAATTAATCTGTTTTTTGCCCTGAGGTGAAATTGTGTAATAGAAGCAGCAACTCATGTTACAATATTAGTTTATTCACAGGTCTGGAAGGCCAAGTGATCTTGCAGCTGCCTAATCCTGTGGCCAGAACAAGAAAACCCAGCAGATCCACCCCTCTTTGTTCAGCTGAACCTAGCAAGTTAAGGACAAGCAGATTCTCTCCCCTACACAAATAACAGTACTCTGGGGGAAGTTGATGATTTGAGGACAAAATCAGATGTAATTTTACAGATTCACAGGCATCTTTGGTTTCTGGAAGAGTCTGTAATCCACTAGCCTTTAGTTCTCTGACTGAATCGTACATTAGGGGAAAACTAAGAATCTTAGGTCTTATTTTTCCAGCCATTTTAAACTGAAAGCAGGTGAGAAGTGAGAAAGGAAGATGTAAACACAGAGATTTTTTCAAAATCATTAGGCTGTGCAGCTTCCTGCCCATATCCAGCCCATTGTGCTAAATTTCACTGCAGATCTATGCAGTGACAGGCAATGCTTGTATTGTCCAGACAAATATAATGAGATATCCAAATCCCAAAGCTTAATTTTCATCTCGTTTACAAGATCCACTGATTAATGCTTGGAAAGAATTATAACTCTTTTTGTGAAAACGTCGTTTATGGACGCTTGAGGGCAGGCTGGACTTCTGCTTCAATCAAAGACAATCACTAGATGGAGCCCGAGTCATTTCTGCGGGAAAGCATTTTATAACCTGGCTGTATCAATTTCCTACTCCATAAAGATCCCAGTTCAGTTTTCAAGTGTGGAATTTCAACTGCATGCGTGTATAACCGCCAGCTCACTGCATTGCCAAATTAATGGTACAGTTTTAGTGTGATGGTAATTTTTGTGCAAATTGCATGTGGTTGTAATATCATCATGGTTTTAAAGTAAGTCTAGCTGACTAAAGGCTTTAGATTCTCACAGATTGCACGGGCATTGTTAGAAAAGAAAGAGAAAACATACTTACTTTCTAGCTTCAAGGTACTCTTCAGCCAGAGAAAGAATAACTGGCAGCAAACAGAACTCAGTTGGCCCTGGTTTAGAAAAGAGGCAAGATGACTTTCAAAGGAACAAAGCAGAGGACAGGCCTTCTATCTTCGGTTTAGAAGCAGAGGAGAGGGACATTCATCATAATGATCTAAACTGTCATAATTTGACATAAGGATCTCTCCATTACCTGATGCTCCACACACATACCGTACTATCTGTGGCACCTGGATGGTACCTTGGGGGTTCAGGCATTCAGGATTTCCTTGTAGCCCAAAAGCAAGCAGCTTTTGAGAGAGAGAGACCCAACCTCTGTCCTTGGGTAGGACACAAGATAATGACACCCACAGGAAGAAACTTCCCTCCCAAGATCCTCTTCATCATCCCAGCAGTCACCAATGCCAGCAAGAGGCCATCCTCCCCTACATTTCAAAATGTCCCACCACAGCTGAGGGCCCTGTCACCTTTGCTGATACCCATACACAGTTTCTGGGATAGAGCACGACAGCAGAAGAGAACAGAAACTACGTCTGCTAGACAAGGGACCTTGGCACTATTAGTGGCACACCAGGAGGCACACCAGGAGGGTGGATATAGTAAATGTAGGTGAGGTCATGACCATCGCATACATTTTCTGGAGGCAGATGGAGCCACCGCCAATCACTGACAGAGGAACGGGTGAAGCCGTTAGAGCTAAAAGCCAATGGCTGGGTGCAAGTGTGACTACCACCTTGGACCGGCGTTGTGTCGGGGTGGGCACTTCACCTCCTACTTGCCAAGGGAGGTGAGAGTTTGAGATGACTGATAGTGCCTCATGCATCTTTTCACCAAGGACATGACAGGACCAAAAGCGTCTTGCACCCAGCTTGCTGTGCCCATGGAGAAAGAGAAAGTGGCCAGTCTCCTGCCACTGACCACTTTAGCTTGGTCTCTTTTATACAAATAATTCGTTAGAGAAAAAAATTGGTGATCTTACTGGGAGAGTTTCAAAGCACAGGAAACTATTGTAAAAGAAAATAGGAAGAAAATACAATACTTGTTCAGCTTCCTCTCTGTCCGAGTCTCTTGTGCCTCTGAGGGCTGTTTATTGGTAAGGGCTGTGTTCAGCCTGTCCGACAAGAAAAAATGGAGGTCCTCTTTCCCCAAAAGATCCAAAACACCAGAAGTGCCCCCCTCCCAAGTATTTTACCTCCTACAGCTGTCTCTACCTTCATGAAATCGGTCAACAAATCATGGCAGGGCTAGGAGGAGGGCATGGAGAGGTAGTAATACATGGACATCCATAAACACACGCATAGAGAGAAATATTTAATTATATGTCTCCTGTTAATAGCCTAGATCGGTATAGCTGTGATGGTGCTGGAAAGCCACAGCTCCTTCAGCCTGTCTAAATCAGGTGTACAGATTGTTACAATGCTCTCTGAAGCAAATCAAGGGTATTATTTAAGAGGGAAAAGCCGTCATGCAAACAGAGAAGGCAACACCAGAAAGATAATTTCAATAAATGTTTAGCAGGATAAAGCCTGACCTGCAAAACTGAGCAGGGAATCAGGCCCATGAACGTTGTTTACAATCTACAACGTTTTTTTCTCTGTAAACCTACCTAAATCTGAGTTACAAGACCTTAGCTCTTAAAACATGGCTGTTCTTATGCTCTTGCATGTTTACATAATTTGGTTTAGGTTTGAAAAAAAATCAAGCCACTTGTAGAACAGTCGGTGAGACAATACAAATTCCAACACAGCCCATCTCGTCTCCCCAAGAAGTGATCAGACTTGGAATGTTACACCACGGGTGCTAATCTTATAGCCGCTCTCTTTTCAGGAGTGCAGGAAGCTCCTCCAGTGATTTCAGGCTATCAGATAATGGCAATTGGCTAAGGAGAGAATCAACACATACTCAGGCTTGGGATTTCCAAATTGTGCTTTTGTTATGCACCAAACCAGGTCAGAAGGTCTGTTCTGCAGCAAGCTGCTGTTTGGGAACTTTTTTTTTCCTGTGTTGAGGTCAAATTTCAATTTATGCAGTTTCCCTAATTCTGTTTATTCCTAGAATAATTCTGAAATAGAAGCAAGGTCCTGCAAAATAATTTTATTTGAGCTGGTATGACTTAAGATATACTGTAGGAAAATCAGCTGAACAGTGGATTTGTATTTTGTCAAAGCTATGATTTTTGTGGTCGATGCAGGTTTCAGGAAAGCTGTTCTGCAGCATTTCTTCAGGTAAGTCCTACAATAACAGAATGGTTTGGCAGTCAACCAGAATGGAGCACGCTCAAAGAGAAGACAGGGAGTGTTGCTCCTTGCTGATATGCATGGCAGATGCTTTTTTCACAGTTTACCCTTTGACAGCCAGATATGATGTCAGATAGAGCTGTACCTTATGAAGCAATTTCACTTCCTGTTACTTTGACACTTTCAAGTGCTTCCACTCCCAGAGGACAACCAGTATTATCTCCAGCTAAGACATTTTCCTTTTGAAGACTTAAAAAAAAAATACTGAAGGCATCAAAGAATTATGAAAATCACATTTTTATTTTCCGCGTGGTTCTTACTGGATCTTTTTGCGTGCTGTCATGCTTATCCACAATATTCCTTGCCTGACATAGAAGATGCAAAGTTCATTGAAGACTGTGTGAGAGGGCACAACACGTTTCGATCCAAAGTGAATCCACCAGCCAGCAATATGTTTCGCATGGTAAGACAGTGTTTGTAAATTAATATAGCTTGTGCTGCATCTTATGCTTGATTTGCTTTGTGCTTTTCTTTCCCTTTCTGTCAGTGACTTCTGTACTATATATGTTAGTTCTTCATAGAAAACAGAAAAGACATTAATTTTTACAGTATTGTTCAGGTTTAATAATTTGAAGGGAATTCCTTGCTTAGGGATAGATTGCTACTCTAAACTTCAGCCAGAGCAAAGGGCTGTATTGCAAAGAATAGTGTTTGATTCTCATAATTTCATTTACCTTTTTCTAAGAGAGAGTAATCTGGTTTATGTTAGTGCAGGTTTCATACAGAGAAGCTGTTTGGTATTAAAAAGCTCCTGAATAGGCAATCTGCACAACAGGATTTGTTGAAAATCTATCATCTTCCCTCATTTCCTCCAATCTAGAACATACGTTGAAGGGATTTGCCAGGACAGCCATCTATATACCTGATCTTGATTTGTTGTAGCAGGGTTTGAAGAGTAGGGATACTGATGTCTGGACTGGAAAGCAGAGCTTCCTATAAATACAATGGATATCAGAACATACCATGGATAGGTCTTGGCTTGTTTGGTGGAATACATATGGAAAAAGGTAGATAGATAGCTGAGGGAGGCAACCCCAGTCAGTTCATGTCATTACTCTGAGCCCTCCAGCGGTGCTGCATAGCTGGAAAGGAAGTTGCACACATAACCGCATGCACGCTATGAATCATTTCTATGAAAGGAAGTTCATAGTAAAGGGGTAAAATTCAGACTACTCGTGATTTTAATTTCTTGCCATTTTAAAAAACGTTTAATTTAAAATGCTAGTGCACAAGAGCAAACTTAGCTGCTCAGACTAAGGATCCAGCAAGCCTGGAATAAGAGCAGGACAAATGTATAGAAACGCCTTAAATCAAAGGTGTTGCATGGTATTTAAAAGCTCTTGATGGATTTTCCTTGTATGACTTTTTTTAAGCCTTGAGCTCGTGCAAGTTTTTATCATCCCTAGCATCGTGTAGCAAAGAGCTGCAGAGCCTAACCACAAGTTGTGTGAAGATATCTCCTTCCGTTTAATTTGGACCTGTTAATTCCTAGCTTCATTTGATAGTGTCTAGTCTTTGTATTGGAAGGAGCAAGTAGTCGTTGCTTATTTACCTACTTCACACAAGATATCCATCTGTCTCTGATCAGAGCTGCAGAGCACTCTGTTGCTTTATGAAAGCCTTCCACACGTGAAGAAGACCATCCTTCTCCATGTTCTCTCTGCCCTTTCCAGTTGTAGTGTTCCCTTCTTAAGGTGGGGTGCTGCACACAGCATTTAACAGGATTTCTGCAGTGGTGTAATTATATACCTGGTTTTATTCTCTATTCCTCCTCAAGGAATTTCTAACATGTTATTTGCTTTTTAGACTACTTCTAAATAATGATTTACAAGTGGTAATAGCCAGCTCCAAACCTGTCATTATGAACACAAAGTAAGAATTATTTGTGGGTTGTTTGATTTTTTTTTAAACGCATCCCTTATCTTACATTTCTCTGTACTGAATTGACCTGCCATTTTACTGCCTGGTCATTCAGTGGCATAAAATCTTTCTGCCCATCTTCCAGATCGGTTTTTCAGATCATCACTCGTGCCACTCAGGACAGGAAGAGTTTCTCCTCAGCCTGGCAGAGATGAGTGAGCCTTTTATTTGCTTTGGCCACACACTGAGGAGGGAGAAGAGCAAAGAGGCAGAAGGGGCTGGGGAAGGGAGCAGCGGGTGACTCTTCTCTCCATCCTGGCCCACAGAACAGAATTTCTATCTGGTCTAGTGATAATTGCAAAGTGCAAATCCCTGGAGAGCCAACAGCTCCGAGGCATAAAGTTCCTCAAGCCCCTCTAAGGCTGGGGGTCTCACCCAGTTACCTCCTCTCAGTCCTAGCAGCTTAAAGACTGCAATCCAGCTCTAAATATTTTAGCAAGTCAGATACCACAGGACAGTGTGTAGATACTATGTGTCCTGTGATATCTAAGGGAGAGAGAAGAAAAAACATTTGCTATAGGAGTAGAAATGTCAAGTCAGAGAAAGAAACAATGCAGGGATGAGAAGCAGAAAAGGGGAAAAGAATCCTTACAAGTTTCTGTTTAAAAATGTTTGAATTCAGCTAAGTCACTGCAGTGCAGGTTATATTATATTTTCTTCCTTTTCTGCAGTCCTGGGACGCTGCTTTAGCTAAGACTGCCAAAGCGTGGGCAAAGAAGTGCAAGTTTAAGCATAATACCTACCTTAAAATGTCGGGGAAAGTGCACCCCACCTTTACTCCTGTTGGAGAAAACATCTGGACTGGCACAGCCACCATCTTCTCTGTGGATGCAGCTCTCAGAGCCTGGTTTGATGAAGTCAGCAGCTACGATTTCAACACCAATAGCTGTACTGACATGTGTGGCCACTACACCCAGGTGAGTCTTACATACCCAATGGTTTATAATGTAAGAGTTTCACAGAAAATCCAAGTACAAGATTGGAACAGACCACTTCGGGATGGGAATTACAGCAAGGGTTTTTACCCCCCGGTTTATTGTTGCATGAGACTGGAAATAAATATTCTGATCCCCAGGAATGTCCGACTCCTATGTTCAGTAGTGGTGGAAAGGGATTATCCCCCTGACAATTTCATGGTTCCAGGGGAGCTCAATAATAAATGCAAACCCATCTATCAGATGGTCGTTTGTCTCAGCTGCCCTTTGGGTTATCAATGTTGCTTCTGTGCCAGCTGTTTTAAAGTTCTACAAGATCCTTCCCTTCTCCTTCCTCCCTTAATGCTGTTGCTTTTTCAGCATTTGAACTGGTGTGTTACAGATGTCCCTTTGCCCTTCAGGTCGTTTGGGCAGAGAGTTACAAAGTTGGCTGTGCAGTTCACTTCTGCAATACAGTTGAAAATTTTCCAGGACTCACCAAAGCAGCACATTTTATTTGTGACTATGGGCCAGCGTAAGTTAATTATGGAATTTGGGGGGGGTTAATTTTATAAATATCCTATAACTGACCTGATATCAGATGCCAACAACAATGGGAGCAGTTGTAACAAATTTCAGAAGAAACTCCATCCACGTCACCCATCCAAGGGAAACTTCCCCGGCCATTGAGAGCAGAAGCTGCTGGACATAGCTGGACCTGCAGAACATCCCTTTCTAAAATAGCAGGCAAGCAGATCATAGCTGAGAGCACTCACCATAACCAAGATGGTTGAATAAAATCTGTTTTGACTTCAGTCTCTGCAGGAAAAGTGGGGAAGGTGCAAGCTCTCTGCTTGAGAAAGATTACATCTTTCTATGGCTCCACCCAAACGTCAAACAATACATTTTAATTGAAGAACTAAAAGGAAGACAATCCTCTAGTTTATCTCGTACCTTGCAATTTCTGGATTTACCTTTTACAGATTTGTTTTTAAAATACAGATGGCTAGTGAGAGACTGGAGGCAGATTCTTGTATGCTTAAACTGAATAATACAATAATTCCTGGGAAGACTCATTAATTTCAAGTGGCAAGAGCCATCAGGTAGCTGCTCCCCATGCCAGTGAGAGTTTTAATCTCGTCTAAAAGGAATTTCTAACAATTGCAATGATTGTTTTTTTTATAAAGGGATTCTCCTCCCCATAATAGATTTTCATGATAAATTATTCTAACAATCTGATGAAACCATGTGTTTAAATTGTTTTTCAAATGACTAAGCTAACAAAACACTATTCTTCTGCTTTTCAGGGGGAATTACCCAAGAAAACCATACAAAGCAGGACTACCATGCAGCGGATGCAGTAATGAGAAGTGCATAGACAAGCTCTGTGGTAAGACCAAAGTGATCAACTAAGAAAATTGCATAGAAATAAAAGTAGCATAATTCTCAGTGGGTATACAACAATGAGTCAATTTGCACTAATACAGAGTGAGTCTGTAGCCCACCACAAAACAACAGTACCAAACCCTGGTAAGAATAGGATAAGAAGGAAATAATTGAAATACTTTGCTGTTGAAAGCTCTCAGAGGTAGAAGCCAGAGTTTCGGGTAAAGAGAAGTATCAGTTACACTACTTTCCACCTTTTATTTGATCAGAAAGTCAAATCTAAAACTTTAGCCCAACAAATATTCCCTGTCTGATTCTTCTTTCCTAGCAGAGACAGTATATTTAACTTACATATGTAACTTCTGCTTTCTTGCTTGTTTAGTATGTCCTATCACATTTTCCAGACAACTATAGTTCTGAACCAATAATAAGAGTATTCTATACTGAAAAGCACACTTAATTCTAACTTCTGCAATTTTCTGAAATACAGCAGTGAGAGATTGTTTCTCCACAGCAGTTTGCAGCTGTGGACTTTTATATCATTACACCTAGTCCCAAATTAGTCAGAAATAGTGTTTTAAATAAACAGAGATTAAAAGATGTGCAACAATGTCTTAAATCAAATATGAATTTTATACAGAGGTCGAATGGTGATGGTCTCTACTAGCCAGGCTCTATATAGCTTCAGCTGGAGAAATAATTGCACATCTGGTACTCTTGTTTCCTTCTGTGATGTCCTGGCTTACTCATCTTGAAGTCTTAGACTGATGCATCACAGGAAAACTAGAAACCCCTCAAAGACTAGGGAGAGAAGGAAGAGAGCTTTTCAAACTTAAGTGCTAGATCCTACAACTCATTTTACCATATTGTCCTATAGGACAAATCAGCAATTCCAATAGAATGCACGTAGGTAATCTTGCAAATATATCAAAACTCTTAGTAAAGGTGTGCTTCTGTGATAAATTTAGTAGTTATATTTGTCTGTCTGTAACTACTTAAATTTGAGTTGCATATCAAATTTAAATAAATTCCACGTTTTGTTTTGATTTGCTATTCCCTCCTCCCTATGACACAAATTCTTCCTCTTGCTTCTTTACTACTTCTCTTTCAATTTCATAAAAAATATAGGCCCCACGCCAGCTGGGAACCTGCTCTTGTTGGGCTGCTTCCCCCTTGCATGATGCATTAGGCACTGACTGGCATTGTCAGTGCAATCAGCCAGGCACCAGCAATGGCTTACCTCTTTACATTAAGAACTGCCACTAAATGATACTTATATTTATTTCCTCTTCTGGTCTCTTTACAGAAAATACAGAACGTGAGAAGCTGATAAGTATGTATCAAATTTTTCTTTATTGCTTTCCTGAGATTATGGCTAAGTTTGATGGGTCTTAACACCTGTTTCTTCACTTTTTTTTTTAGATTATGCCTACTGGTATCCAGACTGGGATACACAGCCCCAGCCACCACGTCCCCGTCCCCCCCGGCCTCCCACGCCACCGTACATCCCGCCTGCTAAGCATCCACAGCCTCCGCGTCCTTCTTGTGACCAATACTGTGTCAGTGTTTCAATTTTAAGGCCACTGTTTTTGGTACTGAGTGTTGGTGCTGTGCTTTTAGTACAACAGTGGTTCCCACATGCATTTTTTTATGAGTAATGATCAATTAGTAGCGATCCTACCGCTATATTACTCTCAGAGAAGTGCACACATTTAAAAAACCACTTGGTCATCTCTCCATTATCCTTGTGGTGTTTATTCAGCATAGAAAAGGCTGCTTCTTCACTCAAGGCAAGATATAAGTGGCTGTGCAGAGAGTTATTGTAATTTATTGGCAGTACCTGCAACACACTTCTATGTCTGTACGAGTCCCTTAGCTCTGGCTCAGGAGTAGATTGCTAGGGGGACCACGCAGACTGCATATTACTATACATGCTAACAAGCCTCCTGAAAACATGGGGCATCACAAAGACATGTCTGAAATGGCACACTGTATCCAAAAGAAGTAATAACTCATCTCCATTAACCTTCAATTATCCCAGACATCATTTTCCTCAGATAAAGAGATTTAACTGTACGTATTATTTTTTATGAACAGAAAAAGTTCATTAAAAAGTCCACTAAAGTGACTCCGTTGTCAGTTGTACTATTCTGTTCTCCTCTCAGAGTTAAGCTTTGTCCTCCATAGCTAGAATAATACCAGGGAAAGTTGGTAGAGTGAGGATTAAGATGGAGTGTCAATGGGGAGAGCTTAATTTTAGGATGTGAGATGGTGACAAAATCTGAAACGCAGAGTAGACGACAGCCATCCTGAGCTTGCAGGCAGGGGAAGGTGGGAAGCAAGGAGGAAAAATAGGAGAGGGAGATGAAATGGGCCCAGGACAGATTCTGGTTCAGAAACAGAAGATCTCAGCCTCATTAAAAAAGCCCAAACTGTTGATGGATTCATTTTGTTTTTAAAGACATCAACCTCTATTGTTTCTATACAAGAAGAAGAGTGTGGCAACTCAGACAGAGGTCCCATGCAAACATGTGGCTGTCCAGGTCTCTGGCTGCATAGAGTGCCTGAGCCTGTCACTGGAAAGCAGCAGAGACAACTGTGTGCGCTGTGACCAGATGAATGATCTGCTCTGCCTGGTGGCAGAGCTGAAAGAAGAAGTGGAAAGGCTGAGGAGTATCAGGGAGTGTGAGAGAGAGATTGACTGGTGGAGCCACACCGTGTCATCCCTGAGGCAAAGGTAGCAGATGGACACTCCGCAAGAAGCAGAGGACCTCCTACCCTCTTCCTACCAGGCTGAGGGAGGGGACCTAAGAGACCAAGGGGAATGGAAACAGGTCCCTGCTCGTGGCGGCAGGCGAGCTCCCTCCAGGCCTCCCTCACCTACCCAGCTGCCCTTACACAACAGGTATGGGGCTCTGGAAATTGAGGATCCAGCAAATGAAGAGGGAAATACAGATGAGGGCCCGCCCAGGGGGTTGCCTAAGGTGAGACAGTCTGCCCTACGATTTCTGACTGCCTCTGTTAAAAAAAAAAAGGAGAGTAATTGTCATAGGTGATTCCTTTCTGAGGGGAACAGAGGGGCCAATATGTCGACCGGACCCAACCCACAGGGAAGTCTGCTGCCTCCCTGGGGCCCGGGTCAGGGATGTCACTAGGAAACTCCCTGGTCAGATACGGCCCTCTGATTCTTATCCGTTACTGGTCATGCAGGTTGGAACTGATGAGGTAGCAGAGAGAGGTCCAAAAGCCATCAAAAGGGACTGCAGGGCATTGGGGCAATCGGTTGAAGGCTCAGGAGCGCAGATAGTGTTTTCCTCAATCCCTTTAGTGGCAGGAAAGAATACAGATAGGAACAGGAAAACACACCTGATTAACAGATGGCTCAGAGGCTGGTGCCACCGACAGAAATTTGGGTTCTTGGATCATGGGGAGGCTTTCACAGAACCGGGTCTGATGGCAGCTGATGGATTTCAGCTGTCTCAAAGGGGAAAAGGATTCTTGCTCATGAGCTGGCGGGGCTCATCGAGAGGGCTTTAAACTAGGTTTGAAGGGGGAGGGAGATATAACCAGGCTCAGTAAACCAGGCTCAGGGAATAAGGCCTCCCACCCCCCTAGGGTGGAATCGGTGTGCTCAGCTGGCTCTCTGAAATGCCTGTACGCCAATGCACGCAGCATGGGGAACAAACAGGAGGAGTTAGAAATCTGTGTTCGATCAGGGGGTTATGATCTGGTAGCAAT